GTGGTCATTTTCTTGAATTTGCACTAATTTTATCATGGGCCCGTATGCATTTTCACATATTTTTGTTATATATTTTTCTGCATAATTTTATCATAAGAATGGTCAATACTGTAGATCTATTACTCCATCTCATTAAATCTGCACTTGTGATGTATCTCAGAAATTTTTTTACTATTTCATTCATCAACTCTTAGCATATTGTGTACATGCATGTCCACCTGCATAAGTAATTTCAGTGCATTTTTACATGCATGGTAATTTGAATATTAGTATCACCTTTTTACCTACACATTATTTTAACCAACGCTTTAAAAAATGACCCGGAAATGAAATTATTTTGGCCATCAGTTTTCTGGTCGATGGTCTGACTGTCCGGTTTGAATGGATGGCCCATTCTGACAAATAAATTAAAAATAATTTAAAAATAAAAAATGGTCAAAACTGTTGAACGGATCGACGGTTTGACCGCTCAAATCAACGAATTATTGATTTTTTCAACGGTTTTTGGCCAAAGGTCGAATTTAGGGTAAAATGAAGCCAATTGCCTAAACGGTTTCCGGACCAAAAAGTCCGACCATTAGAATCAACAGCGGTTCAAAAATCTTAATTTTAACTAATATTTTTTCTATAATTTTCTCTCATCTCGACAGTATGTACATATTCAAATATCTCAAACATGATTATCTGCTTTTTTACTTTTCCGCCATTTATTGCAATTCCAACAACAGTCCATGCATATCAGTCAGTAGGGGTATCAACAGCTTAGGTTTGATTGAACATTAATTCGACCCAAAATTACTCCAATGTGAAACCAGTCCCGACTAAAGGAAATGGGACACTGAACCTCACTTGACATATCCCACAATAGTACATCCATATTCAACCAAGGTGGGTTCTTCTTTGCTCCTCCAATGAAGGACAGAATACATCCTTTCTAGATGTTCTTATTGGTCCAAGCCAATGGACCTTCCATGTCACATTAGCAACAATGGACCAACTCAAACTTAACGGAAGTATCTTATCTCTTCACCTACCCCATCTTCTCAATACAAACCCCTAGGGTTAAGTTTAAGTTGGTTGGTAAGGTCTCATGATGATTGTAGCAAAGACTTACGATTGAATCCTGCCTGTACCTGGATTAGGGGTTTATGAGTTTGGGGGATGGACTATCCCTATTGTGTAGTCCCTTGGATCATGAAAAAAAAAGTCCAGCCAAAAATTTTAACTATGGAATTAGTATGTGTTAGAAAATAGAGACCTCACTTAACAGTTTAAGTTTTTAGGTTGAATAGTTTTTTGAGATGCATTAGAGCTGTTTGACCAAGTTGTCTAATGTTTGGTCCTCATCGCCTACATTATAATTTATTAAATTAAATTTCAGAACATGGTATGTGTGGACCTGACAAACAAAGAACATTGCTTAGGGGAAACTCCACGAATCCCTCAGACAAAAGCCCATAATAGATGTATCTCTTTCCTCTCTCATCTACTTTTTGAAGAGGCCACATGCCTTCTCCTTCCTTTTGCCTTTCTACATGGGTCTTTTTCAAGAAGAGAGGATGATGAGAAAGCAAGCTGGTCAGATTTAGCTCTGGCTTCCATTCTTTAATCTCCAGAGCTAGAAGGGGATGGTTGCTCAACCCTGTCACTTTAACCTATGAAGGATCTTAAAAGTTTTCCTTGTGATGCATGTAGGCACTATTTGCCCTTGATTATGTGTTTCAAACCTCTAAAAGTTTCATGTTTTGTTCAGTATATGATTAAGAATCCATTATTTTTGCACAAAATCAGAGAGAGAGAGTGTGTGTGTGTGTGAACCAGTTCTCCCAAGACATTGTTCATTTTCCTCAAGTAACAGCACACCTATGTCGTGTTCCTTTGATTTTCTTTTCTTTGATCCAAGATTGGCTTCCATCAGGGCAAGCCCGAGCCCACACCGTTCCAACCGCCTTTTGCAACCTTGCATTGGGAATATCTCCCCATGAAATTAAGCACATAAGCAGGGAGATATTCTCAATGCAAGGCTGTAAAAGCTGCTCGAATGGGCTTTATCCTGACCGACGCCGAATTCCTTTGACCCATCTCATCTTCCCATGGACCCACTTGGCCCTTGCCATAAGAGAGATCTGAAGATTTTTTTTCTGTACTTCTTCCCATTACAAAAGAGAGGGTGGCCAGGTCAAATCTAGGTATCAAACAGCCCATCGCCCATTCGGGAGATGAAAACTGCCATGAAAAACACAACGAACAAAGATTCCATAATTGGAGTTGGTTTCTTTGTGAAGGAGGAAAACGAAAATGGGTGAATGAGAACAAAGATTCCATCATTTCAATGATGCCATGTCAATGGATCAACCTCAAACTGAACCTAACACAAAACCCCATTAAGGTACGTTTGATTCCACTTTGGGCCATTATAACTATTATCAAAGACATCGTATCCATCATCAATTAGGAAAATGGCCACGTCTTACACACATCACACATTTATAGAGAAGGGAACCAAGCAGCAGATTGTTTAGCCAAATTGATAGTGAGTTGCTGAGGATATTATTGCTTGAAGACTCCTGGGGTTGATCCACCCCTTGTCTCTTGTAATTTTTTCTTAATTTCTTAATTTCATTCCTTACTTTTTCCTTCAAATCAAACACAACCTTAATGTAACCCAGAAGAAAGAATCCCATATCCAACCTAATTAGTTCTCTTCCACCGCCATTAGTTATAAGTATAACAACTATAAGTATGAAACAATTAAACAAATGAATTTGCTAGAATAAATGAAATGAAATTGTGCTGCCCCAGCTCAGAGAGGTTTTCTGTAAATACAAATGAAACATATTAGTTCATAAGAAAGGAGTTACTGAACTACTAATAAGCTAAACATGGTCCCCCATCTTAGGAGTACTTTCTGTTGAGAATTGAGATAAATGGGGTCAGAGCCTTAGACACACAAAATAACATATAAATGAAATAGAGTGATAAGTAAACTGGTGGGATCGATGATCAGAAAACCAGTATCGATCAATGGTACTGACACTGGTGATTCAATACAATGCAGGGACCCTTGTATCATTCTGGAAAGAAGTGAAGCATGGGTTTTATGCGTTCCAATCCATGCTCTCTAAGGGCACTTAACATTAGGAAGCTCTCATTGAAACAAATATGTTTAGTAAGAAAGTTAGTTGAAAGTTAGGGAATAGACCAGCCACAACTGTGTTAGATTAGTTAGGGAATAGACCAGCCACAACTGTGTAGATTAGTTAGGGAAAAGACCAGCCACAAATGTGTAGATTAAGTTGTCACAGTTCCTTGTATAACAGAATCTCCCAATATTGAACCACCTCTGAGAATGTGGTAAGAATCAATGGTATTCCCTTTAGGTCCACTTTCTTTATTCTGAATTTTGTGAGGTCTAGCAAGTAGCAACAGATAGAAGAGAACGGGAACTAGGAGTGCAACTTGGGCTGGATATTTCCAAACCCAACTCCAAAAAGTCAGGTTGGGTTGAAGTCAGTTTAAAACCCGATTGAACCTCAGGTTGAGTTAGGCATGAGGGACTCACGCAACCCCAAGGTCCCCAACTCAACCCAACCACATCATGTCTTATTGGTCCCTTCAATTATAGCAAAATTAACCCTGACCAGTCAATCCAAAGTGAAAGAAGTGAGGATGTTTTCAAAAAGCAAAACAAATGAAGAAACTGGGCCACTACATACCTGATCCAACCCAATATTTGTATATTACAATCAGGTTGAGTTGGGTCAGGGTTTAGGGTTTGTGGCTCAACACCTTGGGTTAGAGTAGGGCTAAGGTTGACCTCAAAATGACTTAAGCTGGTCCGACTTGCATCCCTGATGGTGATGGGCATAGGACATTTTTGTCATTTTAGAAGATAAGACTTCTATTTTTTTTGCTTGAGTAGAAAAATTAATAGAAATCAGCTGTAGCTGATGTGATGGTGACATGGTAGAAACCTAGGGCTCCCAGTAATTTCTGAGACAACCAAAACCTTTTTCAATTTATGGGTTTCAGTGATCCTACATGGAAGGGACGGCCGTTTACGTCGTTGCAGCACCCAGTAGTGCAGTGCAGGACGGGAGTTGGCCAGTTGGGACCGTGGTCCGTGTTTGTAGCTATCAACTCAAAGATGACACCTCTTCAGTTCTGTCCGTGGATGAAAGTCTGAAGCTCTAGCTGTTTGAACCTTTGCATCATTTCACAATCTCATCTATTTTCCAACAATCTTAGATGGGACCGTATGACTGAGTTGATTGGGTGGACGTTTCTCGGAGATCTCGTTCATTCATTCTCTCTCTCTCATGCAGTTATATAACCATCTATATATATATATACTAGCTGGGAGATGTAAAATATGGCCGTAGGTGAAATTGCTTGTTATAATGAACCATGATTTCATCATTATCAACTTCTATAGTTTCCCCACAGAAAAAAAAAAAAAAAAAAAGAAAAAACAAACTCTAGTTTACAAAAACCCTGATGATGATTTTGATGTTTAGTCTACTATTTGGTTTAAAGCAACATATTCTAGTTCTGTACAGTACTATTTTTCTTTAGGCAGTTCTACAGCTATGTCGGTTTTGCAGGTTGGCAAACAACAGTAGGGCATTTTGGAAATTTTACTTCTGTAGAATAAATGCTTTGTAACTATTAAACACCTCTCTCTCTCTAGTCTGTAGATCCAAACCATTAATTAATATCTCGGCCTCCCCCTCGTCCGCTACAGAAAGCTTTGGACAGTTAGTGTAGAGACTCTCACCCACTCATTCACTTGATCATAATATCGTCTCTCTCTCTCTCTCTCAGTTTCACATTAACAAGTAACAACACGTACATACACACAGACAGAACAGAAACCCACAATCCGCCAAACCACAAAAACCGCTTTTTTCCACTTCATAAAACCACTCTTCCGTACCTCCACCATCCCTCCCCACTCCGGTTTTCCCTGCCGACCCGACCAATCCCATGGCTGGTCTTTGCTACTTGTACAATACATCCCTAATAAATCCAACCATCCCCCACCATATTCTCTCTCTCTCTCTCTGGCTTCTTTCTCCACAGCTTTGTTCATCTTCATAAATCATAATCTCCATTCCTTTCTGTAGCCAATTTTCTCGGATCTGGCAATCGACTATTCTCGAGAAAATGTCACTCGACGTCGCGTCTGAACATGTTTGCTATGTCAACTGCAACTTCTGCAACACCATTTTAGCGGTATACCACTACCACTCTCTACTATCTTTCTCTTTTCTTAATCTTTAACAACCTGCGCTTCATTGGCTTCAACTCTAACTTCATATTCAGATTTCATACTCTAAAACCACCCAGATTGCCATCAACATCTACAAAATCAGATTTTAATTTTTCCATTAATATTTACGCTGCTCGATATGATCAAGTGGGTTCCCGTTCGGAGGCCCCATATATGGGATTCAATATCCAAATTCTCTGGTTTGAAGAAAGGAATGTCGGGCCCTCAATTTTAATTTGATGATCCAGGAGCTTACAGATAAAGCAGGAGCTCATGGTTCAATTTATGTAGAACGAATTTTCCTTTCATGGTAATAGGTAATGTTTTACGGTGATTATTAAGTTGGTTTTTCCAGTCACAAGACCTTAAAATTTCTTCAATCGGTCAAAATTCTGAATCATCAAGGAAACAACTATGTATCAATCTTTTTTATAACTTGAAGGCCTTTCAACTGCAACAAGCTCAGACTCAACTGCCACTGTATTTGGTAGGTTTTGCTTTGTTTAAACACAGATGTATTATTATACAAAAGAATATAATAGAATAATAAGCAGCTGATCATGGAGTTTCAGTCTTGTCAACTCAAAATACCCAAAACTGAAGCTGATCAGTTTCTTCATCCAGGCCTATCTTCGGCTTTTAATCCAATATTAGTTTAGATTGGGGATAATTCAGACATCATCTTTCCAAAGCCAGGAGCTGCCTTCACCATGATAATCATGTGTCACCAAGGAGGTTCCCTCCGTTTGTATAAAGACTCACGCTTATTTTTAGGGTTACAGCTAGGTCCTAGGGTTTCTCAGAGGTCAAGGCAAGAGTCAAATTAGAGCTTTTTACGTTCTAAGATTTGCTTGGCCTCATGTGTCGAGTATCTCCACTTGTAGGAGACTATTTTTTATTCTGTAGTTCTAACTTTCGAAAACCACAAGAATTCCCTTTACCATGGAAATCCTTTCTGGGTCTCCGAACCAACAAATTCAAAAGAGTTAGGTCTGAGGATACGCATAGGGATAGGTGCTGGAGTTTCTCACGAATCAAGAAAAGGGTCTCGAGTTGGAGCTATTTTACCTTCTCAGATTTGCCTAGTAACATGAATTCCTGTGCACAGTTGGATTACTTTTCTGGGTATAGTTTCCTTTTGCTTGGTGTTCTTCAATAATCTCTGATAGATACACACTATTCTTAAGACAAGGTTAATTACGTAAAAATATGCACAGTTGCAGTTTCTTTTGATGGCTTTACTCTCATTAATGTTTTTTTTCCTGCCGTGGGTGTTCTCTTGCAACTCTATCTTACACCAAGCTACAATCTAAACCATGACTTTATCTCCTTTTCAGCACGGTTCTTGGTGTTGGATTCAGAAATGAGAGACCAATATGAAGCATTTTCTTGGCGAGTACAAAATGCTGCTTTTCTTTCTTTTTTCAACCTCCTTTCATCATAGCAGGCCTCCTTTAACAACTCTTTTAAAGCTTTTCCATTTTTATCACTTTGATTTTTTTTTCTTCATCTGAAAATCACAACTTTAATTTCACTGCCTGCAAGAAGAGCTAAAAATCTGCTGCCTTAATTCCCCCACCGCAACCCTCCCCCTCCCCTCCGCTGTGGTTATGGCTTTATGGTTTCCGTTCCAGTCACGTCCTTTTCAAATCTCTCTTCCCAACATATATATTTTCCTTTTTATTAATGTTTTTCTTGCTTTTGGGGTCAGGCAGAAATGTCAGGAGCACCGAAAGGGAAGTGAGATGGTAGACTGTAGCTTAAGCCTTACCCATGTAAAGCTTGAGATGTTGGGTCTAGAGGAGGATCGAGAAGTTGGCTTTTAGTTTTACATACAGAATGCATTTAAAATCCAGAACCCAAATAAAAACCATTACAGAAAATTAAAAGCATCAGAACTTCTTCTTGTTCTCTCTCTCTCTCTCTCTCTCTCTCTCTCTCTCTCTCACCATTTTCTTCTTTTTACTGTGATTTTTTTGGTATTTGCTTTTCTTTTGATAGGCGAGTACTTAACAATTTAATATAGAAAATAATGCACTGTGAAACTGAAGAAACGTATAGGGCTTCTAGGCATTTGTGGGTTGGAACAGTAAGCAAGGAAATGGGTCTGTGAAACATCTTCTGATTCTGAACTAGAAATTACTATTTCGGAAACGAAACTTTCCATGAAGACAAATAGAAAGCAAACCAATGGCTGTCTTATTTGTGCTAGACTCTTATCAAACATGTACCCATTCAAATTCGAGGAAAAAAAAGAAAAACATAAATATCTGAAACAGTGTTATCAATAGTATGACTAAGTCATGAAATAATAAAAGAAAATAGTACTGGATTCCCGGGATAATGATATATATTATCGATTCGGGCTTTTCTTCATGTTTGGAATTCAGTTTGGTTGAGATGCATCAAATGTTCATGAAACTAGATAAGTTTAAAAAGAAAGATATATCAAACCTCTTATCACATGAAAAAATTAATTGCGCTTCTGGTATTACAGTCCATATATATCTATGTTCTTTATTTCCACTTACGCATCTTGAAGTTATACAGTTCTTTCTTTTCTACAATCGCCTTGGCAGGTTAGCGTTCCAAGCACTAGTTTGTACAACATTGTAACGGTTAGATGTGGCCATTGTGCTAACTTGCTGTCTGTGAACATGGGAGCTTTGATTCAGTCACTTCCACTTCAAGATATTCAGGTATGAAGCCCTTGTACAAAATTTTCCCTTGAACTTTTGATCTGAAATATTATTATCAACATACAATACCAGATACCATTTTCTTTTTTTTTTTCATGAGTGAAAAGGGTCTCTCTGATGTGATGATTTCTTCTTAGTCTCTAAGGCTAAACTAAACTACTATGTATCTTCTGCCATCTTCTGTCCCACCATCAAAGAATCTAAATACCAATAAGATTAATTGACTCTCCCTTGTAGAAGTAGGAATAATTATTTAGTGTATCAGTTGAATTTTCACGTGGGAGAAGAAAATATAGAAATCCAAACCATACATAATAGATGAGAAAAGGGGGGAAAATAGAGTGAAGGATTTGATTATAGATTTCTTTTACTTGTTGAGAGAAGTTGCAGAATCACAATTCTAGCACTGGTGATTTGAGCAAGGATTCTGGTTCTTCGTCCAAATGCAACAAGGTTCCCATGTTGGATACTGCAGAGAATGAGCAACCCCGAATGCTTCCCATACGCCGTGAGCTCTCTCTCTCTCTCTCTCTGAACTAAATGACTTATTGTTTTGTCTTTTGTGGATAAAATATTCAAGGGTATAATAACCAACCCAATTTCAGTATATGACCCGTATTAAAGAGATCACAACCCCCTTATTAACTTCTTCACTAAAATACAAAGCGATAAGTCATTCAATTCAGCCATTTCAGCTGCTAACTTATTCACTAATAATAAATGAAAATTAACTCATAAGAATCTCTCTCTCTCTCTCTCTCTCTCTCTCTCTCTCTCTCTCTCCCTCTCATGTTTCACATTATGATTTTCAATGCTCCTGTTGTTGCCTTGATCAATTAAGCTGACCTATATTTCTTATATCAATGCATTTATCAGCCCCAGAGAAGCGACAACGTGTTCCATCTGCATATAACAGGTTTATCAAGTGAGTTTATTGATTTCTGAACATTAATTATTAGACAATTTAAAGCTAAATCTCTTAGTGACAACTTAAATGCTTAAAGTTGTAATTGAAGCATCTGTAAGTATTGAAGAATAATTTGACTTGTCTTTTTTTTTCTTTTGTTACAGGGAAGAGATTCAAAGGATAAAGGCCAGTAACCCTGACATTAGCCACAGGGAAGCCTTTAGCACTGCAGCAAAAAATGTGAGTTACAACAAGAATTGTAAACCTTAATTAATAAAAAAAAACACTAGTTTATCGAGGGGCTCCTCTTTCTCAAATTTTGATCTAACATAAACAAATATCAAAAAGGAAAATAGAAGCGGCTTAGAAAAATCAGAAGGAGCCCATAACTAGTGAATAATTGCTTAGGAGGAAACGTAGAGTACATAAAAATAAGGCTGACAAGGATTTTGCAACCAATCCACAGTAGTTGCTTCTTTCAATGGGAGATTGATCCAAATTAATGTCTTTATTCATAAACATCTTTCATCATAATTCCCTTGATTACCAGAAAGAGAGAGAGAGAGAGAAGAAGAAGAAGAAGAAGAAGAAGAAGAAGAAGAAGAATAGAAAAATGAAATTGGGCATACCTCACCATTCTTATAAATTCCCAGGACACTAAAATTTGAATGTCACTCCAACCAAAATATGCTTTGTTTGATTTCCAGAACAACTTCGTATTTTAGCCATAAAACTGTTATAACTTCTAGAAGTCTTAATTGAGTTGTTTCAGAAGACAATACTTAAGGTGCCTAACCATAAATTTTACAGCTAATTTTAAGTTTTAATTGGAGAATTTGAGCAAGAATTTTGTCTCATTCCATACATAAAATTTGTCTGCTATTTTGTCTTCATACAACTTTCCTACTATAATTTTCTTTCTATTTTCATAGTAGTATCCATTTATTATTAATAAATGTCTCATGCAATTGAATCAACTGAGATAATGTTTTATACCACATTCTCATGCATTATTTCGAAACTGTTTTGAATTTTGTTACTTCATATTGATTGTATGACCAATCAAAGGTTGTTAGAAAAAAAAAAACTATTCAGGGACCTCACCTAACAGCTTAAGTTCTCAGGTGAGGTCCTGTTAGAGAATAAAAACCCATTCAGGGACCTCACCTAACAGCTTAAGTGAGGTCCCTGAATATGTTTTTACTCTATAACAACGCTCTTAAAATCACTACTTTGAAACTTTTCCTTTTTACATAGGGATTAATATGTGTTAACTTGCCATAAGATCTGGATAATATTAAAGAATAGACAAGGACATCTTGACCTCTAGCTAGTCAAAATCACAAGATATACGAACTTATTGTCAGTTTGTATTTTTCAAAAGCATTTGCACTAGTAATTTATTGGAAGTACATATCAACCAAACCTCTCTAACTAAATATAACAAGTGCATAGTTGGATACAAGGGTCTGGTTACATTGCCTTCTTGTTCACCTTCTCATAGAAATATAATTTCAAAATGAATCTATGTTTATCATTGATATTGGATTGTAGATTAAACAGTATATCTTTGTTTATCAACCAAATAAAAACAAACTCATATCACTTAGTAATGTATATTCTAAATGATAGTCGCGTCACTTCTTTAGTTGATTAGAAGAACAATGATGTCACACCAAAAGTAAGAAACATTAATTCATTTTTTTTATGAACCACTTGTTGTTGATTTAAATCTTTTATGCCAGAGATGCAAATTGTTTAAAGGAGCTATTAACTTAACTATTTTCTTGCAGTGGGCTCATTTTCCTCACATTCATTTTGGGCTAACACTTGATGGAAACAAGCATGTACAACAACTTGATGAAGCAATTGCTGGGGAAGGGCCGAAAAAGACTCAAGGATTCTACTAGACACAATGTATCTTGAAAATAGAAGCAAGTGTTGGTATATCCTTTTTGAACTAAGACCCAGAGGATCATCAAGCCTCTCATCCAAGGTAGGAACTGTGGAACCTCTAAACATCTCTCGAGTTCTGTATTTCATCCTCCTATTTCTTGTCCATTTCCTTTAAGGTATTAGTTTTCTTATACTTGTGATTTCCTTTTATTATGAACTTGATAATTAAGGTAAAATAATAAACAGTTGTACTAATGCCACACTAAACTTGTTTAAGTTGATAACCAAGGTTGATCTGGTTATATATGTTTACTTTTACATGGTACCATCAATTTCTAGTGTAAGAGTGCTTCTCATTTGACTTAATTTGTATTTGCAAAGTTATATGGACTGGATTTCAAAAAACAGGTTCATCTGAGAAACACCTTGTAGGGTGTTTACCTCAAAAAGAAAATTTTTATCATTTTTGTGAGTATAAATGTTTTAAGAAAGTTAACTGAAAAGGGTCTAATATATTAATAAAAAACATGGAAAATCCATGACAGAGAAACCATTATTAGCACATGCAAACATAGCAGCACATTTATGCATCCCTTTTTCTTTTTTTATCCATACATTATATTTGATTTATTTGTCATATCTAATTTATAAATAGATAATAACTCTGATTTGAGTTAGAGGGAGACTACACATGAATGGTTCCATGCATAGAGCTTGGATATTCACCTCGGGATCCTTGTAGAGTGTTTGGGATAGATGCTGATTCCTCTGATGAGATTTTTCAAAAATCACTGATTTCTCAGATTTTTTTTTTTTTGGGGGGGGGGGGAGATGGACCAAGGTTCTATTTCTGTGATTTTTTTAAAACTATTTACTGTTTGAAAAATGATTTTCTTGATCTACGAGAAAGGTATATAGATATATATTCAAACTTCAATAATAGCTATAGTATAATCTACAGAACAAATTTATTTTGTAAAATTTATATTTAACTGACGTTTGTTTATACCATATTTTTTGGTTCATTACTTTGTTGTAGCACCTTTCTACACCTCAATTACGCAATTTATTTTATGTGAACCGTGACATCCAAAAGTTTGCCAGAAAGACTGAGATAGAGCCAAAACAACAGCAAATGAAGGACACAATTTTCAATCTTCAGTCTATGAAGTAATCAGAGTACATATAAAAATCCAAAAATTAACAAGAGAAAATGTGTATAAGGCCCCATCTTTTTGAAGTCCAGTAGAAGAAAACAATCCATAGAGCATCATTCCATCATTTTTTTTTTGCTATGGGCTTTTTTTCTATGGACTGTAAGGTAGTTTCTTCATTTAATTGCTTCTCTGCTTTTAATTTGAATATAAACATGATATGCCACTAGGTTATTCTTGATGAAGCCAACAAAATCATGCAAAACCAAATGATGCAAAAAAAAATCGAAATCAAATTCAAATTTTACGAGATAAGTCAAGATGAATGAAGAGATCATCACGTTCTTGTCTTTTTCCTAGGTATATGCATTGCTCATCTTTTTGTCATACAAAATTATCCGTCCACATGCAGTATATCTAGTGAATTTCAAAACCTGTGACTCTTTAAGGGCCTTATTAAGTAAATATTCCACCCACTAAATTACATATACAACCCATGAGAGAGAGAGAGAGAGAGATTAGATGGTTGCAGCTTTTGGTGTTCATCCGTCAACTTCAGATTTCAGGTCCGAATGTCCGTGCAGAAACCAGAACGAAAATAACACCGAATTTGATGCCGGAAATGAATGCGCAGAGAGAGAGAGAGAGAGAGAATCATATTATCGCCACAAACACACAAACGGATCGTCTCGTTTGCGCCGGGGATCAGACATACTGGTTACCACACCATCACCGTGCTATCAGTACGTACTATTTCAATGAAATCGTGCGTTGATTGCGTGCAAGTGCGAGACTGAAACGACAGACATTTGTCATAAAAAGAAGGAAAAACAACACTGGATTTCGGAGGAGAAACGCCCCTGTTTTGCATCACTCATCCATGCCATGGGATCTTAACCCATGCATCATTTAGCCACGAGAGAGAGAGAGAATTTTAGCCATCTGGACTGTTTTAAGTGCCCGGACCTCCTAGTCCTGGCTATATATGTACGTTAGCATGTAGCCATGCAGACTGATGAGGAATACTATTGCATTCAAAATAGCCACGTGGACTTGTAAGTGTCCAGCTGGTCATCTAAGTCCATATAGTCCAGAATATACACTAACATGTACAGAATCTTTTTGTTGGTGATAAGGAATCTACACTGCTTGAGACGTAACCAGTAGTGTATCATTACTGATCTTTTTTTCGGGCTGATGCTCAACCTGATTACGTGTCTGTCAGTGGAAAGCTCGAAAGGACTCGTCAAGGAGCGAAAATAAGGTTGCATGCACAGAACTGCGAGGAATCTACACTTTCATTCAGTGTAGTTAAATCTTTGGATCGCTTTCTTGCTTGCTCTCAAATCTCAATATTTTACATTCTAACTAACAAGCTTAATTATCTTTCTTCCCAAAATACAAGAAAGGAATTTTTCTTAAGCTCAAAGTAGAAGGACAATTTTTGGTCTGTTATACAGTCCAGAAGACCATGACGAGGGGATGCACACTACGCTCCTTGCTTATGGAAGGGGACTTTTGGTCCGAGAGAGAGAGAGAGATATAGAGCTGTTGCTGTCATGTTTGTTGGGGTGAGACTGTGAGAGTAATTGCACAGAATCTGAAACGTCAAATCGTGTCTTCTCGTTTTTTGAATTTTTACTAAACAAATGAATATCCGATATGAGGATTTAGCTTTCTGAAAGTTTAACCTCTCTCTCTCTCCTCCTGCAGAGCTGCCAGTGAAACCAACCTTTTCGTGGGTGCCAACATACTTGCCAGAGACACTGTCAGACTTCATTTGCCATCTCTCAAGTCCTATTCTAACTTATCCAAACCGGCCTCTCCCCATCCATCTCTCTCTCTCTCCTGCACGTCTTTATTATGTCAGAAGTATTTTGAAAAAATGGGGTTAAATGATCATGGAGGGATGCTTCATGCCAATTAAGTAAACCTTCAGAAAACCAATTGAGTGATGAACACAACACAGAGATGGGCTCACACGGTTTATCTAGCTTGAAGCTTCCCGATGATTCTCCACTCTCTATAAACAATTCCACAGAGTAAAGATCCAAACCTACCTTCTCGTGTGGGAGCCCATCTACTGCACAAACCACATAATGCCAAATTTACTAGGTCACTCACAAGCTAAAAGTGGATCGCCATGAGAACCTGGTAGGACCATCAAATGATGGATCTCTCCCCCAACTGGTTCCTCATTTTATAATGCTCAAGAGTATCAAAATCTTAAATCGATACTTTGCAGCAATACCATCATGGTTGCATACACCAGTGAACAGAGAACGTACTTGGAAAGAAAGCAGCAAAATCTAAATTAACGGGCACCCTATCATACATGCTGAAGCTTCACTTAACAAGCTAGCGGAACGATCTACAAACAGACAGACAGACAGACTATATATATAGAGTCCTTAAGCTAATGCTTGTTCGGTTGTTTGACTACAGACTACAGTGGGCTAATGGTCGACTAAGCAATTATATCAACCATGCAATTAACTAATCAAGGGTTGATATTTAATGGCTGTTACTTTTAATTAAGCCTCATTACTAGATTAGGGTCAGTTTGGAAAGAGTACAAATATGTACAGTACAAAAATAATACAAATTAAATATGAGATATAAGGTTCAGTTTGGAAGGAGTACAAATACAAATATGTAGAGTACAAAACCTTATATTTTATATTATTTTGTATGCATTTGCACTGTACATATTTGCATTTGTACTCTTTCCAAACTGAGCCTTAAGAAAAATATTGAAAAAGTACGTACGTTTTCTTTCCATGGTCCTTGAGCTCAGCTCCTTATTGCAACCCAAAGATGACTTTGGCGAGCATCTGGTTTAATTTGCCCAACAAACTTGAAGCCAAAAAGGGAGATGAATCATCATCACGGGCTTCTCAATCATCTAGGAGTTAACAAAAACTACTACATGCCCATCTGAGATGGCATCCTCGTTTCCTTAGATTTGTATAGGTTTCCCTACCTTTCCCTGCCCTTCCCTACTTTTTTCCTTCAAATTAAACCAAACACAGCCTTAACTAGAGAACCTCCGTTAACCACAATAAAGAATTTGATTGAAAGAGGCTGAAGGTGGGTAAAATCTTTCAATGTTCTAAAACATTTTACCCTCTCCACTGCGAGAGATGGGCCTTTTATAACAAGTACACCTACATTAATTGATAGTCCTCATTTAAAAGACAACTACTTGGGCACCTACACATTTTGAAAGCCACCCTCCTAAGAGACACCCCTAGCTAGGGGGCACATGCACAAGCTCCTAGCTAGGCTAGCTCATCTCATGGCTTGTTGAGCCAATTGGGAAAATGGGCCAGAAGGTCCTAGCTGTTCTGTGATGGTACTTTGCAAAAACACATTAACAACAACTTCTGCAGTTTTGTACATCACAACACTAGCTCCTTTGTGTCTAGCTAGCACCAAGATTCCTCCCATGTATATACTGAAATTACCTACCTTATAGTACTAAAGTGAGTCAACAGTGCAGGTTGAAGGGTATAAAGGAAACAAGATGCCCACATGCAGTAGGCAAGAAAAAGAATTGGGTGTGGAAACCCAACTCCACAAGATTTGTCATTCCATTGTTTAGTTCTCAAAACGAAGGAGCAGAGACTTCAGAAACTTCTGACCAGATTAATTTCAACTCTCCTTGGTGGTAGTCAAGACGTAAATTTATAAGTTACATATCAGTCGGGACTCAAGAGTTTTGTTCAATTGCATTTTCTCTCCCAACTTCTTCAAGTATTTAGTCAAAAAAATAAAAAGAAGTGGGTAATTTGACTTCCTCCTACTTTTGATATATTATATAATTAACGGAGTGAATGAGTGGTTATTATCAAAGTTTTATTTTCAGTGTAAGAGTTGTGTTTTTTTCCTGCGCTTGCTTAAGAAGGGAGCTGAGGTGGTTGAGAAAGAAAAACTTAAGAGGGTAGACGCCCTTACTATAAAAGATAAGGGTCTCTCAAATGAAGGACCTAAAAAATTCTACCTTAAAATCCAGAAATCTAGCTTGGCTTTCCATGTTCAATCCTAATTCTGGCTGAACAAAACATCTCTCAATATATAAATAACAAAATCGTAACAGATTTGAACTTGAAAACTTTCTCGGTAGGTCAAATCTAACTTTAAGAGTCATGATTAATTAATTAGTGTCTTATATATTC